GCTGTGACCGCCGCCCGTTGCAGGTCCGAAGAGAAGATGCGGACGACGGGGCCGACAGAGGCCGACCGCGCGGCGAGGTGGGCACCTAGGCGCCGGGCCTGGAGGACCCCATGGGCCGTCAGCTGCGAGTCGCAAACACCTGCACTGGGGAAGACGGTTAGCGGGCAAGGGCCGGAAGGGGAGAGACCTCGTCGCTGGGAACGAACGCACTAGAGGCCGGCCACGTTGTGCACCGTTTCGCCGTGTCGAATGAAGAAGAGACGCATTATCGCCGCATGCTTCAGGGTATCAAGTAGTGTGCATCATACTACGGCGGGCAGTCAAGGACCACGACCAAGATGTCTGCCAAGGAAGACAAGAATTGTGGAGGATGGGCGGACGCTGAAGGAGAAAATGGACGTGTCAACGTCGAGTTTTGGGGTTGGTTTTGTGGAGAAGATTTGGTTGCGTTGTGGGGCGCTGCCGGCAGCCGAATGACCCAAGTCTCGCCCCGTACGCGGCACATGTACGATGCCAAAGAAAAAAGGGGAAAAAAGAAAACATGAGCAAACCAAGGAGTTTCCCAGCTGAACCAGGCATAATTAAATTCACTATATACGCTTTGAACCGGGTTCAAGTCGCTAGGAAGAACAGAGGGCCGAACGGGGTTACCTATTACAAGACGTTCTACGTAGACTTGGCTCTCTCAGTCCCAAGGTTGACAGCATGAAGGAAGTTACGCGTAGCACAATCCCGGAAGATGCAAATAGTGAATATCACAGCAGCAATATATCATGATACACGGATTAGGCCATTCCTATTATTTAGTTGTTATGTACGAGGTTTCTTCAGTATGTCGTCAACCGAGCAAAACCGCTCCCCAAAAGCTCCCAAAACAATCCCTTGTGATATACGATGCATGCAGCACATTTAAGCCCAGGACCTGACCATCATGTCGGTGCCAGTCCGTGAAATCCATCTCTGTCCCACAACCCGATACAAACGCCCAGCGTTTAGTTTCCAAGGTTTAATGGGTGGTACCGACAAGTCCTCCTGTGTCGAGTGTTGTCCTCCCTCATTATCACCCGATGGTCGGCGAGACACTCCCAGCAAAATTGGAAATTACACCTTGTGCCTACATCGTCGCAAAACGTTAGCATTTCTGGAGGAACATGATTAATCGTGACCAAAAGTGATTAAAAGGGCCTTCGAACATTTGAACTTGGGGTGCATAATCTGCAGCGGAAGAGCAGTCAGGCCCAGCGGCCGCAGCGAATGTTGTGGTCTAGGTCCCAGTCTTCATTGCAGCCCCAGCAGAACTCATATCTGCACCGAGTGCCTGGGAAACGCCAAACCAGTCAACGGACCGTCTTGAAGGCGGCATTCCAGTTCTGTTGCAGTGGGTTTTTGGTGCAGCTGGGGATTGGGGTGTTAAGAAAAGGGGTTGCAACTTACACGTCATATGCGCGCTATAGAAAATCAGTCAGCAATGCATTCGAGATGCGAAGCAATGAAAGGGAGATGCTTACCAGCCGCGATTTTTCTCGATCGGCGACCCACAGCCAGGACACGGCTTCGTCGTCTTCTTGACGATTTTATTGCTCGCGTCTTCCTCGGCCTTGCGCTTCGCGGCGGCCTCTCGAGCTTGCCGAGCCTTCCACTCTCTCTCTTCCCGCGCTTTCCGCTCCTTGGACTCTCTTGCCTGTCTCTCCCGCTCTTCCCGGGCTCTCTCTTTCTCTTCCCGGGCTCTCTCCCGCTCCCGCCCCGCCGTTTCTCGCACTGTTTGCTCTTCTTGAGCCATTAAACTCTGAGCAAAAGCGCGGTCCCGGTCTTCTTGAATTCGACGAGCTTCCGCCTCCATCTCAGCCGTCTCGTTTTCGATGTCGAACCGGCTGCGGAAGTTTAAAGGGTCGGCCTGGAGAGAGTCGTATTCCTCGCAAGTCAAATTCTCGTGCCACGCAACTTTATGGTGGAAGCATGATCGGACGTTGCAGTGCATGCAGACAACAATTGGTTGGTCAAGCCCACCATCATGTACTTGACCATGTCCACAGCCGGAAGGACACCAGACAAAATTATCTGCCTCGGAGACGGCAGACCGGAAAGACAGGGTTTGATACCTAGAGACCAGAGTTAGACTGAATATTTTTGTTATTAGGGAACTGCATAACAGTTGGCAATCTTACCGCTCTTTTGTTGCGGGATCTGCAAACTTCTGAACATCTTCATACTGAAGACGTTCCCGACACTCCGGGCACCCAATCTCGTTCCAGAGACGGTTGTTCAGGTCCGATCTGATTGATGTTGCGATACACTCAAGGCATGTTGATGGCGCGTGTTTGCATGCCTTGGTGACCGCGGATGGCGGAAATTCGGATGCGGCCTTCGAATCGGTGCAGACTATGCATTCTCGAGTCCGGCTCGCAACCTCGGCTGTTGTGTGCTGATTCGTGAGCACAACCGGGGCGCTGCCTTCCGCCGCCTGGTATCGTTGCCCGAATCTTGCAATCGAGAGTTAGAAACAAAGATCACACGGCCATGGAGCCTAGGGGGACAAATACTCACCCAACCTCTGGGAAGAAGAATCCGGGAAGAGCAGCCGGTGTAATGCTGTATGGCTCAAAACCCGGGGATTGCGGGGGTGTTCTCCGCGAGACAGCAGGCGCCTCATCCTCGTAGCCAGCCCAGATTGAGGGCGATACCGGGGGATATCTTCCGGGGCTAGAAAATGGCCCTCTTGAAAACTCGATGCCGAACTCGCCGAACTCGGCCATGATGCTCGGGATGTCGGGCGACACCGATCTCCGCCCGCGAGAAGATGACCCTCTCGAAAACTCGACGCCGAACTCGCCGAACTCAGCCATGATGCTCGGGATGTCGGGCGATACTGATCCCCGCCCGCTGCCAGAATATGGCCTGCTCGAAAACTTGTCGTCGAAGTCTTCCAGCAGGCCGGGAACCACTCGGTATGAGCCATTTGCCGAAGAGCTCACCGCGGGGGGTGTCGCGTTTCGACCCCGAGATTCCCGCTGTGTCTGTTGAGATTGACGAATCGTTTCCCCGGTGCGCCAATCGAAATCGTCCAGGATCGTTTTGCTGACTGGCCCGTAATGTCCCCTTGGGGTCGTGGAAGAGGAGGGCATCCTAGCCCGATCTGTATGTTCCCCCCATTGAGGCCGGTGAGTAACTTCCCCGGTGCGCCAGTCGTAGTCTTCGAGGATTTCGGGGCTGGTTGGCCTGTAGGCTGGCCTCGGAGTCGCGGACGAGGAGGACATCGCAGCCCGGCTTGTATTGTATTGCGACTGCTGTAGTCGGCGGGTGGTTCTCCCGGTGCGCCAGTCGTACTCCTCCTGAATTTCAGGGCTGACTTGCCCGTAGATTGAACTCAAAGGCATCTGTGAGGAAAACATGGTGGTCGAGGGTGTATTAAGGGCGGGGATATGTAGTCGCAAAGGAGTTCTTCTGCTCCTAACTCAATCCAATCCTGAACGATTGTTAGCGCCATACACCCATGGATGGATAGGAGAGCCTTGACAGATACCCTGACGAATAAGAAGGTATGTGTAGGAGGGAGATGGGCCTTGGTGTCCTGTATTGCGGTTCCAGTTCGGGGCGTGGTGTAAAGCAATTAGGCCTTTCGCATCTTGGAAAGTCCCACACTAACTCTCGTTCACCTCGGGGATTGGATTGTATCAAACGGTGATGTGTCGAATTGCGATGGGCCACATGGGTAGACTGTGACTGGAACTCACCTTCTGGTGTTGAGATTGGGCACTGAAGTAAGGCTTCAGGTAAGTATCCCACTTGGAGGTATTACTCGTAAATGATGCGACACAATTCGCGAAGGTAAGGCGGGTTCTTCTCGGTGGGGATAAGACTCTGCGATGTGTCTGTGAAAATTCTGGGAAAGAAGGTGCAGAACTCTGACACGAATTAGAAGCGCCACTATGCGCCTCCAGTAAGGTTACCGGGTGTGCCGAACAATGGTAAAAGTGCTTGAACAACAGGGAGGGGTCTGAACAATAGGGAAGAACCTGAACAGCGGAGAGGACCTGAACGGCGGTGGCGAACAATTGTAAGGCAGCATAGAGTGAAATATGCCACGAGACAGCCATGGGTTGACCGAGAGAATAGATGATTGGGGAGTGAATGACCGACAGACACCGCCGGCCGGTTCACCTGGCTCGACCAACTCAGGTGGCTGGCTCACGAAAAGCCTTTCACCGTGCATTCGCCATCCCAAGTCTACCAAGACAAGGACAGCTAAAACGCATAGGCGCTTTCTAAAACACCACCCGTCCGGTAGGTATATAGAGGCGTGGCGTCGTGAGTTCCGTCTGGTTGACATTCCCGAGGCGGCGTCCACGGGTACAGTGGAGCTTTGCACCACACGCTGACCTACCTAGCCTTCCGCGAGCACAGGGCGCAAAGACCTTCTTGGCTTTCATATTGGGTTCCTGCCCGCCCGACACGGCAACCTCTCGTTCACTCATTCGAGTACGTGGCGGCCACATGGGCGGCTCTTTCTTGGAGGTCAGGCTGCGAACCCTGATGTCCAAGTGCACCCAAGCAGCACCACATGTATGTGGAGCCTCGTCTGAAGTTTAACGCCCGCCAACCAGGGGGTTCCCCAGTCCCCGCACCCAATCCCACCCTACGGTCCGCCCTGTTCCTGGGCGGCTGACCCAAGCACGTCAAGACACTCATCGCTGAGCTGGTCCAGTGTCGCCTCCATTCGGATATACCCGACTACCGTATTGCATGTACCGGTACATCGTCCACGCTCCGAAGGCGTCGATGCAGGAGAACCGCAGAGATGGCGTGGATGTGCGTGGCTGACCTCCAGTCGTGCAACCACCGACCGGTTACGTAAGGTTGAACAGGTCACGGTGGATGTGGATGGATGCATATCCACAACTGCACAACCCACATCCACCCAGAAGAATCGTGTCTCTCGTTCATCAGGGCCCGCCCTGGCAGCATCAACGTTAATACTGCTGTTCCACTTCAGCAATTCCAAGGCGGGTATAGCTCAGCCGGGAGAGCGTCAGACTGAAGTCCAACTTCAATCCTCTATCTGAAGGTCAAGTGTTCGATCCACTTTAGCCGCATTCCTGAGTCCAGCCAACTGGACATCACAGTTATATTTTGCTGTGGTGGTCATAGTTTTGTTGCTCAAGCCTACTGACTTGGGCCTTTGGTGACAAGCCTTCGCTGGTATATCTCGTTAATGGAATGCCTAGCCTTTCCACGCGTGTGGCTCGTTCTGCGCCCCGAAACCGTAATTCCGTCTTTGATGTATATATATATCATAGCCTCCCAGGACGTTCCAAAAGATCGAATTCTGCAGCACCATCTGGCCCAGACGCCTCTAATTCCATCCCAGCCACCCGCCCTCATGTGCCCGGTCCTTCTCTTTTGGGTATAAAACCCCATTCATCAAGGTGCGCTCCTTGTTAGCAACGAACTTCTCTCGCGCCTCCTGTCCGCCCCAGGCCACAAGCATCTGCTGCGGGCGAATGAGCCTCGGCTCCTTGATGATGTCGCTCTTGCCAACCTGCCGCATGTAGAGCGCTGGAACCACCGCCATCACGTTTGTGAGTTCGGTAGAAAGCTGCTCTCTCGTGGGCTCTGGGTTCAACTTGGCAATGTTGAATGTCTTGCGGTGCTGCAGGATATTCTCGCATCGCAACTTGTGTAAGTCGTCCAGGAAGTTAGGATTCTGCGCTAGCTCGTGGTGTGGATTCCACATCATATATGTATTCAGATCGGTATAAAAATGGTTCGTTGATGTGGCCATTTTCTCGTGCAGTGTCACGGCCGGCTTGATGACAGTGTCTTGCCAGATAACGCAGAACTTCTGAAAATCTTTGGAAAAAATCTTGAAAGTTGATGCCAAGTTTAAGGTCAGTTCCCTGATCCGATCTGCTCGGCCCTTTTGGTACTCGGGGGAGCAAACAACGGCATTCAGTGCTTCAGCTCGCCACGTTCTCATCGCGAAGAGATCTGTAAATATTTTCTTATTAGCAGCTAGCAAAAAAAAACCGGTAACGCGAAAACCGAAGAAAAATACGAAGATGGGAGGGGGCGTGTGCGGGTTTGTCGCAAGGACCCATTACCTCTCTTCGGCTCAACGTTGTTCTGCATCGACGTTTCCACAGAGCTGAGAACCTCCACGAAGCCGGGAACGACTCCACACAATATCTTGCGGAAAATATGAACCTCAAGATACCGCATGATGATGGCAATGATTATGTCAATGTCGGTTTCTGGAAACAGAGAACCGTGCATAAGATCAGCGTGGGTCTGCAGCCATTTTCGAAGACTCTGAATTTCAGGAGACCGTTTCCTTGCTGCCGCCAAAACCTCCTCCATCTTTTTGGGGTGTTCCAGGACAGATTCGGCGAACCGGGTCACCCAGTCGGTAATTCCGTTTACCAGATCGTCATATTCCTAGTGGGAGTCAGCCATGTCCATGCATCATGTTCAGTAAACCTACCCGTCCGACTTCATCAGGCGTGAGATCCTTACGGTAAGGCTGTAAACTGAAGATATGTGACCGAGCATCATCTAGATCTGCCTTCAAGCCTTTGTTCTCTGCCTGTAGCCTCTCCAGTTCCTGAACAAGAGCATCATTTCGAGTCTCGGCGCGGTGGATGAGCTTCTCTTGCTCCCTCACAAGTGCTTCAGCTGCTTGTTCCGCTTCCTCTGCGTGATGGCCGGTATATCTGGGCTTCCGCAACTCAACCTCTCGTTTGAGCACATTGATATAGTCTTCTTCGCGGAGAGAAGTCGAAGGGTCATCTGGCCGTGTTGGCGGAACCATTGCCGATCTTCCATTCTGCTTTATCTCTAGCCGGGTAACTCCCGAAATGGCAGCATCTGCACCATCCTGACCGAATGCGATGCCGTGAATATTGGTATGTTTGATCACCCGTGGGTCTTGGCCCTGCTGTCTCGTCGGGTTATCCATGGAAATCGTAACCGTTCCTGGATTGGCGTTGATAGGGATCTTATCTGGGCGTCTGAAAGTCTCTTGCGGCTGTGGCATCTTTGCCGGCCCGCCCCCAAAAGCAGCTCTGAGGTCTTCCATAGTGTAAGCTGCAAGCTAGATGTGCGGAAATTGGCTGGTGAAACTAAATTCTGGGGATGCCAGGGTTGGAAAGGGGACGACCAATGTAAGCTCTCGCACCTCCACGAATATGGGCAAATCGAGGGCGCAGTCTCATTGTCCGTGGAGCAAGTAGGCTGCTCTGGGATGCGGATTCCCCGGCCGAGGTCGGAATTGAAGATTTGACTGAGAAGGTTCTGAAAGTGGATGGTAGGTACCGTACCGACACCCGGGGAAGCACGGGCGGGACACTGGCGTAAGGAGAACTGTGGGGGGTGGAAGCTGCAAGGAAGGGATGAAAAGCAGCACGAGCGGTAGGTAATGGTAAGGAAGTTAAGTGTCTGAACTCGACTTGGGCTGAGATTTGAAGTAGAGAGGCGAGGAAGGAAGGTGGTCAGGTTGAACATCATGGGCAAGTACGGCTGCCCAAGGTACCTTCCTATCGAATCTGCAAGGTAAGGTACCAAAATTAATGTACCGAAGGCAGTCACATCATGCCGGGCACCTGGGTTCGGGTCAGATTCGTGCTATCCGTGGGCGAATGCACATTAAGTTGGCCTTCCATTTATACTTGGAGGACTAGAGCCTGTGAAGGTGGAGGCAATCAATCCCACTCAGTTTCCATTGCAATCCCCAAATCGAGAGAACGGAGCACACTGCATGCAGTCCACACAGCAAGTGTGCCGCTGTTGCCTCTAGAACTAGACTGGCCCCAGCCCTACATCTATTTCCAACTTCCCTGCGGGAACGTCCGTGTCTCATCCCGATTCAAATCGGAGGCTCCGGATCACAGACCACGAAAACCTTTAAGGGGATGGGGGGAAATCGTCCGAACATTGCTCTCCCCCACCTGCAGCGTGTCAACTTGGCCCACCCCACCTCATTGGCCAGGCGCCTACCGTAGTTTTGCGCAATGCAATATGGCAAGAGGTATATGTACTTGTGACATTGGGCAAGCTGTTGGACACAAACCAACCTGGACGGTACCTTATTACAATCCAGCAAAATCCTATAAGAATGCCAACATCCAGTCGTTTGCTGTTCTTGGGTACAGCTCTGCAATTACTGCTTAATGGAACGGAATCATTTGGCGAATTAGAGCTTGAGCAGTTCCTGCAGCGCTGAGCTGGTTGGGCATACTTGACACGAGAGAACAACACTTTGGGTGACTTTGGGGCAGAGTTACCCTCGAAATAACAGATGCAGTCGCAAAATAACCTGGGATGTCTGGCTCCTGGACTTCGTTTTGGGTGCCTACCCTTGCTAACCGAGACAAAGACAACCATTGTCCATCTGGCCGTTAAAAGACGTTGCCATGGCACCATTCCCGCCCGTACTGGAAAGGTACTAGTAGCATGCCTTTGACGTCTTGGAAAGCCCCAGCACGTCTTGGATGCTGTCGGGCACAACTGAGCAGGGCTGTCAGGTCCCGTGATGCCTTCGACTGTTATAGGAAGTTACGGTCGAGGCCTCATGACCGCTTCCATGGCCAGCGAGGGAAAGAGCCACCTGTGCCGAGCAGTCTCTTTCCATCGTCTCCACTTCAGGTACAAACCGCACAGCTCTCTCACATTAACTCGAGGGCGGGCTGGGCAGATAATGCCAGGTCAGTAGAGCGGGTTGCAGCATGACTTTATGGCATTCCCTTGGTAGGTTGCCACCTGGACCACCCCCGTCTTGTCACACTGGTTTTCCAACTCGGGTTTTACTTTGGCTTCCTCTCTCAGGCCGCACCGTGTGCCACAGCACTGTGTCCCTCTCGATTTAGGTTCAGGTGGTCTTCTCTTTTCCTTTGGCGCACCTTGTTTCCTGCCGCGAACATCATTCTTCAACTGGACTGTCCGCCCACCGTCACGGAGGCATCTCGCATCTCATCCACCGTCACGGAGGCAAGAACCTAACCTCCCAACCACGCCAATACAGGATCAGCCAAAATGGATTTCGACAAGCTCTCTATTTCGGAGCGCAAGATTATCGTTGGAATCGACTTTGGCACCACATACTCGGGGGTAGCTTGGGCGGAAACGCAGCGTCCGGATCGCCGAGTAGCCATCACATCCTGGCCAATCTCCAAGACGATCCGCGAAGGGGAGTCTTCAGACAAAGTCCCGAGCAAGCTCCGCTATTCTGGAAAGGACATTGAATGGGGGTTCTCGATTCCCGTCACCGCCCCTACGGAAGAGGTGATCGAGTGGTTTAAGCTGTAAGTTTACGTCCGAGGATGGCAGCACCACCTCGTGTCTGATTGTGTTTGACATGGTTGCTGATCGAACTAGCGGTCTCGGCGGCTCGCTCGATTCCATCGGTGGCGAGCTGGGCAAAAAGGCGAGTGCAAATATTGGCGATGTCGATAAGCTCATCACCGACTACATCTCAGCTCTCGGTGATCACCTCATGTACACGTTGCGTGAGAAGCTCGGCGAAGGTGTTGTGAAGAACACACCATTGGAGCTTGTCGTTACTGTTCCGGCAATCTGGAGTGAGCAGGCGAAAGAGAGAACAAAACAGGCATGCCAGCGCGCACGCGGTCTCTCGGCAACCAAGTCCACCATTCACCTCGTTTCGGAACCCGAGGCCGCTGCCATGTATGCTCTCCAGGGCCTGGACCCCCATAACCTCCGGGTTGGCGACAGGTGAGCACCCCTATCCAAGGCAATGAGCAGGGCGAATGAACTGACTGAGGGCAGCTTCGTTATCTGCGATGCTGGCGGTGGAACTGTTGATCTCATCACTTACACCATCGTCAATCTCAAGCCAGTCCTAGAGGTTCGGGAGACCGCTCCCGGGACCGGTGCTCTCTGCGGTTCAACCTACATCAACATGAGGTTCAGAAACTTTCTTAAACGCAAGCTCGGGGGAGAGGAGGGGTTTGACGACGAAGTGCTGGCTGAGGCAATGGAGAAGTTTGAGAAGACGGTAAGCCAGAGCGTCTAGACTCCATTCGTCTCTTTACGCCGGCACATGATACTAATGACGTGGTTAAGATTAAACGCCAATATA